TTGACTCTAGCTAGCTGGGCCAGTGCCTTCCAGGAGAAATCCACCAACAGCTCTTCTCTTGCTTCTCATTGTCATTCCTATCATTGCTATTGCAAGAGGAAATGCGAAAGATTCTGTCTTTTAGTCCGGTCACTGATACCATATCACGTCATTTAGTACCGCGGACAAATTAAGTTTTTTCACTTGTAAAATGAAGGAATTGGGGTAGATGATCTCTAAAACCATTTCAGCTTTGTGCTTTCATTGTTCCATGAGGCTTGGACATGATCAAAGCAATCCTCACCTTCAACAACCAGGGGAACTTCCAGCTCTCCGAGCCTACCAACACTATGGTGAAGATGCACCACAATAAATCATCAGGGAGACAATTCCACCTGGTTTCTAAGAAAAATGAAAATGTAATCTTCTAGGAGGATTATAAAGTGGAGGATCTGACAATGGGTTTATGAAAATTAATGCAACATTACATTTGTTTTCTGTGTGGATTCTTTAGTAAGTGAACTTAACATTTTAGATCTAATCCACGTTTGTGGAAACATCAGACAAATGGTTTGAGAATGTCTGTGAATTGGGTTTAATTTTCCAAGACAAGGTTTACAAGATTCTTGCAGAAAGGGTGATGGAAGAATGGTATTGGAGACCATGAATGAGATGAATGAGCTGGAGAAATCGAGGCTGGCTTAGGGGGTCTTTCCAGCCCAAGGTCTATTGGCTATAAAGAACACAAATCTTCCTAAGGTCCCAAGGTATGTTAACATTGATGCTATCGCAATAAATGTGCTAACCCTGCTTTTACTTATTGGATCTTAAAATATTTTATTTTATTAATAAACTTAGAAAACAAGAGGGTCAGAGAATGCCAGAGACCACCAGTGGAAAGGGCAAGGGCCTAACCCCGCGGGATGTGGTGCTGCAAGCTACGGATTGGGTACAAAACAAAAGCATAGACGCCACGTGATTTTACTGGATGCAAACGGTCAGTTGTGAAAGCGAGTGGAAGAACTAAGTTTAGCCATGTAACAAAGAAAATAGGGCTTATGGTTTTCTCTTACAGCCAGTAAAGACTGCTCCTGTGGATATATAGAAAGGAACAGTGAGACGTGAGATATCTTCACAATCAAAACATTTTAAAGGAAAATATGCATAGGCAGAAGTAATGCTTCCTTTTCATACCTCATAATTTAGTGTGGGATTTTTCTCTTGGAATAAAAGTGCTACAAACATTGATCTTTAAATTTCTTAAGTCTCAAGGAATAAGCAAGGAATGAGAATAGAGGCCTTCAAGACTAGTTCCACCAATCATTTCACTGTGAAGCTATATAGTTCTTTAAAAAGAAGAGAAAATCACTGGCTTACATTTAAAAAAATGGATACTGGGCAAATCAAGTCAAAATAAGTTTTCTTGAAAAACAAACATTCAAATGTTACATATGTCTAGAAACTCCAAACAGGTTTTTACAAGAATTTCAAAAATACACATCCATGAATTTACACAGCTGAGATCGCACAGCTCTTCAAAATCTCTCTGCAAATAAAGAAGCTAACCACAGCGGCCTGCCTGGACAGCCTGCAGCTGGGGCAGATGGACTGGCAGAGCCCGCTGTGCTGTCAGTACTGTGCCCCTTCCTTGGCACCTCTCACTGCAGTGCCAGCCAGTCTAAGAGGCTGCATCTGCCATACTTTTCTCCTGGCTAGTGATGGTCTAGGGGCATCGGATGCAGCGTACCAGCCAGGAAGAATGCAAGTCTCTGACGAGAGGAAAAGTCCTTTCCCGCAGGCACGGGCACCACTCCAGGAGGGCCCTCTTCATCAGCTGGCTTTTGAAGCACTTTCTGGGTAGGATTCTGCTTCGTTATCATTACTTCCATCGCTGTCATTCCTTTCCTCATCTCCCCTTTCCTCCAAGCATTCTTGGATGTTTACTAGCTAAAATCCCCTTTGGTTATATGTCTGTAAGAAACTAAAAAGCTTCCAACCCCAGGCAGTATTTGATAAGCCCCTATGGGTGCTTCCTTTTCTTTTCCACTGCCCTGTCTGTAGGAATAGGTGCCAGAGAGTGAAAAAAGACTATGGAAGGGTGACAGGGAGCAGTTGCAGGCTCAGAGTTCAGGAAGGCTGGAAGAGATAGGAGGCTCACCACAGCAGCTTTTTTAGCTTTGGCCATGTCTTCAAGAGGGGATAGTATGAGGGAGGTACCCAACTTCAGTAAGATATTAAAAAGGCCACTTCCAGGTAAAATCCAAGAGGAAGCTGTTTCCCCTGCAGTTGTTAAACAAAAATTGAGGAAAGTGTTCCCTTTTGCTCTTGAATTTAAGTCAAGGTACTGTACAGAAGTTGGATGAAATCAACATGAAGACCAATGTTGCTTTTCTTGCTCAGTAATTTCAAGGAAACTGAGTAGCTCTGCAGTGATTTCTGTCCCCTTGCCATACTGCATTCCTGGGTCCACCGAAGGACTGCTTCCATGTACGGGCTCCAGGAGCACTTCAACAGGTGTTTTGTGATAGTTCTTTAAATCATGTTCAAACCGCAATCTTGGTGTTTTGTGGGGATCATAAGTGTGGCATTCCTTCATTCTTTCTGGCATTTGTCACAACTGCTTACATGTAAAGAACCACGTATGAACGCTTGATGACATGCTTCTTTTAAATAAAATCCAAGGTAACTGGACTCCAAATTGCTCTCCTGTCTGCCATCTATTTCAGCAATAATTTTTTTGTGATCCTTGGATCAATAAACAAAAGGCTTTTGACAGCCTTCCTCACTCAGCCTAATCATGTCTAGCTTTTGATGTAAAGCAAGAGATGGGGGCTCTTCCCTCACTTGCAGATTTAAGAGGTCATATAGGGTTAGTGATTGGCCTAATTTCATTACTGTAGTGTCTTGGGGAACAGAGAGGCCTGAGGGAGAGAGATGAGGGACCGCTGGTGCGTAGAGCAGTTAGAAATCACATATTATTTATTCATTCAATATGCTGAACATTCTATTCTTTATCATATAACAATCACCTCAATTCAAAAGAATTTGAGAGCACCTTCACCTTATTAGCCATAAACAAATTTTATTTTCATTCTCTAATTGGTCTTATGCCTTATATGATATACTTGAAATATTTCAAATATATCAAATATAATAGAAACCTGCTCCACAGTCCCCATTCCTAGAATGCATATTAGACTTACCCAGGGGACTGTTAAGAAATACTCAATCCTCTAATAGCCCCACCTGGGCTCAACTAAATCAGTATATGTGGGTATGAGTTCCAGACATCGCTGTTTACTAAAAGCTCCCCAACTTACATTAAAATACACAAAGTTAGGAGAACAAGGCTTTAAGCCACAAAATAAAACAAGCTAGATGACATAAAAAGATAGGAATTTCCACAGACGGGGCACAAGAAACCTTGTGTCTACCACTGCTCATTCCTTAATACCTGTCCCCTCCCCCCTCACCTTGCTGGTAACTGTCCCCTTACCCCTACTCTGCACCTAGCGCCTTTCAGGGGGTTCCGCTTACATGTTTGGCTCTGTGGTTTGTTGACAAGCTGCCCAGGGCATGGTGAAAGCAACTGCGATTAATCTTCCCTTGGAGTGTTTTTCTACATCAGTGAGGTTTTTCTTAGAATCCTAATAGAAGATACGAAAGAACCTGACAATGAAGGAATCAAAGAGACTCTCACAGGTAGTTGAAGATATTTTGGTTGTAAAGAGGGAAAAAAGGGCTAAAGAAACCTCTGGTTAAGGATCAGGAAGTAAAATCTACATCCTGCGCTTGTTTTGCATTATACTACTTGATTCTTTGTGATGGGGTATCATGCCTTTTTATTTTTAAAGATTGATTTATTTATGCATACAGGAAGTGGGGTGTAAGCCAAAGGTTTAGGGGAGAGGTGGTGAGAGGATCCACCAGAGACAGAGTGACTGAAACCCATTGCTGAGGGCAGCTGCTGGGAGACAGGAGAGGTCTACTGGCCATGTGGGTCACTTCCCCACTCGAGAGTGAACTCTGGCTGCAGTGACTGCGGATCACTTGATGTGCCCTGTCTCTAACCTCTACACTACCAGGAAGGCCCTATAGTGCTCTTTCGAAAGGACTGAAAGGTGATTACAATGCATACCACTCACTCTCAATACATATAAACTGTTGAGTAATTAGGAAGGAGGCAACAGAGGGAAATAATCAAGTTATATTATTTATTCCAGTTTCTTCAGATGACCAGTCTATGTTGTCTCAGTTCTTTTCCAAATGACCTTCCCTGTATAGTGTCTAAGCTACTGATAAGTTATAAAAGAAATACGGGCAACCTGTGATTTCTCCAACTAGTCACATTTTAGCTGGGTCCCAGTAACTCACATTTATTTACCCCAAGTTTTTCCGCAAGGGCAGGCAGCATCCCTTGCACTTCTTTTTTTGTTGTTAAGATGTATCTATTTATGCACACAAGAACTGGGGTACAGGCCAGAAGTGTGGGGGTGAGAGGATTCCTGTCTCCAGAGTAGGGAGCAGAACAGGCGGATCCACGGAAACACACTGTTGAGGGGAGCAGTGGGGAGAGGGGAGAGGTCTGCTGCGCCATGTGGGTCACTCCCTGGCCGCGGATCGAACTTGGGGTGCAGTGGCTGCGGACTCAACAGCACCGCGCTTTAACTCGTCGCGCCACCAGGGACTCCCCTCTCCCCCCTTGCACATCTCAGGCAGACACTGCCCAGACTGACGTTGTGGGTGATTCCGAAACCACCAGCTTCTTTCATTTCCCCTCTGCCCGCTCCACCGCCTACCACGTCATCCCCTCAGGTTATCTCAACAAACCAAACAGCCCCAACAACAACAAAAGGCAAACTACGACACAAGAAACCCATCTGCAGCGCGGCGTGAGGGGAACCTAAAACCGACACGCTGCGACCACGTCTCCTCCTCCAGACTAGGCGCTCCCGTGACGTCGCGTCATCTCCGCGCTCACGCCAGGATCCCGACCTGAGGCAGCGCACGGAGCTTCCCGTCTCCCTCCCCGGCAGGTGCTGCTCCGCGCCGGAAGCACCCACGGGCACCATGCTGGGGAGCCAGCGGCACGCGACTTAAGACAGATCGCCCCGCGCTCCCTCTCACCGAAGAGGATGGGCGAGGGAACCACGTCGGGCGCGTGACGTCACTGGCGCGCGCCTCCGGCCCGTGGCGTCGCGTTCGCGG